TTTTCTTTTTTAATATTATATTTGTTTTATCTTATAAAATTAATTGGTTTATATTGTTAAAACACATGTAAAAGCATCAATTAAGTTGGTTAAAAAATCGGAGTCTGGAGGCAAACATACGCTGTTGATACTTTTTTTTTTAATTTAATCTCGTTTTTACCCCACTAAAACTTACTAGTTCCTTCTTCACATAAACAAATAAATTTATTGAGCTTATTCACAAATTTGTTTTTAGACAGCAACAATTTCTTGAAATTAAAATGAAATTCCCTTATTAAACCTGTGAATCGTGTATTTATTGTTGGTTATTTATTTTTCTTTGCCGTTTTAATTATAATATATAAGTGATCACGTTTTTAGCGCACACACACATAAGTACAATACATCTTATCAGTTTAGAAGGTCGTAATTTATACGCACAAACTTTATTACACATTTATACAAGTAAATGCAGGTTGTCCAATTTCAGAAACGTTTTGCAATAAACAGGCATCGATCGCGTGAACTCGCGTTCTAATGACCATAAATATTATTATTTTTATTCATATTATGTTTGTTATTTTTGTTGCTTGATAAGGTATTTATAAGCATCTCAGCTCTTAGTTTCAACCAAACTATTCTATTTTGCGCTGCTGATTAAGTGTCAGACAGCTTTTTCCACTGAGTGAGATCTCAATATTAATTTAAAGCAAACATATCATATCTACATACATCTGTGTGTATGTCTGTTTGTAAGAATGTATATGTGCAGGTGTTTATAAATTTATCAATGCAGAGGTAAACAAACGGATGTGTGTTTGCTTTAAAATTATTCATAGAATTCTAGCTGGTTAATTATAAAGTAAATATTGTCGAAGAGCAAAAACGAATATTATCAGTGCCAGCCTGAACGATGCACAAGAACACGCAGTTTTTTTTTTTGGTTTTTTTTTCACGAGATAATTTTGTTTTGATTAAAGGGAAGAATTTGATGAAGTTGCGCAAAAATGCTATGTATTTAAATATGTACCGTATAATATACATACATATATGAATATGCGAAATGTTTGCAAACAAGAGAAGTAGATAAGGCATTCACGTTTTGCCTCTCAAGCGATTATCTAACATATGCGGACAGAAAACGTCATCTTTATATGTACATATATCAAATTATTTATATATTTATTATGTGTGTATGCAAATAAAATTTTCCCATAGTGGTAGGGTACACATAATGCAACGAAATGAGCAAAAATTTAATAAAAACAAAAGACGTTAATTTCGACTGCACCGCAGGCATAATACCCTTCACAGGTGCATTTCTTATAGCTTGAAAAAGTATAAACAGATATTTATCTTGATTTTGATAGATCAGTTTATATGGCAGCTATATGCTATGATCCTAACTGAAGAATTTGTCTTGCAGAATAATCCACGCCAAAATTCGTGAAGAAACCTTGTCAAAAAAAATATTTTCGATACAAGAACCTGATTTTGATCGTACAGTTTGTATAACAGCTATGTATATGCTATAATAGTTCAATATCGGCGGTCGAATGGGCTGATAAAAGGTTGTGTGAAAATTTCAGATCGATTTCTCATAAATTAAGGGACTATTTCGCGTATATACAAATGGACAAACAGACAGACGGACGAACGGACGGACATGGTTTAATTGACTTAGCTGCTCACGCTGATGTCTAACATATATACAAATGTACATATATATATTTTTTATAGGGTCTCCTTCTGGGCGTTGCAAATTTCGTGGCAAACTTTATATACCCTATTCACAATATAAAGTAACACAAAATAATAACTTAAAATTTTTAAATAAATATTTTTTTAATCCTTTTTAATATGTTTCTAATTATCTTTAAGCAATTGCTTTCATTTTTATATTCCAATATATTTCTTTGCGCATAAAAAGAATAAATGTGTAATAATTTCGATATTCATAAAAATAGACTAAAATATTTCAGTAGTAAATATTTTTAAGCTTAAATTAGAACAACGAATTCGACAAAATATGTATCACTGAGTATTTGATGAGGTAAATTTGTTTTTCCAGACAAATTCTGGGGTAGAGATCGAGCATGAATACTTATAGGACAGTGTCCAGTTAGTATAACTCTTATAAAAGCGTTGAGATTCAACTTGCTAATACCAAGTAATTCAATGGACTGCTTACGTTCCACTCTACGCCAGAAGGATCTCGCAACCACTCAGGTGCAGGTTGCTGACCAAAGCTAACTGAGCTCGCGTAAGGCCCTTAGATACAGTGTCCCAACGCCAGAAACGCCCAAGCGATACACTCACTTGCACTTTCCAGCAATTCCGTTATGGCTAGACGCCGAAATAAGTTTAATATCGAATTAGGTTGATGTTATTGCTTATGACTAGCTTTGAGCGCACGGTCAGTGAGCTGAAGGCCGTCGGTGGGTAAATGTGTCGTCAGATTTCGATTAGAAAGATACTAGTCAATTTCTAGTTCATAAAATCAAATAAAAACTGGAACAAGTATGAACCAAATACCACATAGCAAACAAAAAATTGAAATGAACAATATCTTAGAGACGATAAATATGAATAAAAGCTTTTATACTTTTATTTTTATTTCAAGTTTTTCACCAGACTTGTTTGATTTCAGTCTAAAATTTCTTGTTGTTAAGTGATAGATTATCTGACTATTTTACTAGCGTAAAGTTTTTTGAAATATACATATGTAAGTAAATCCCCTATTAAACCCACAAACAGCCTACTGAATCTTACATTACACACATAAGGATTCCAATTATACAAATCCAGGAAAAATTGCTGTCCTTAAATAATTTGTAGCGCATTCCGTCGTCCGCCATTACAGGCACTCTTTTAGACATTCATTAACAGCAGTCGAGCTTGCGTTTGTAACGCTCTTGCTTTTTTATATGAAATACCTGTGATTTTATTAACATACTGAGGCACATTCGTCGTGTCTCACGGCCCGTATGTACTACTTATAAATTTTTGCACGATTCGCTGCTTAAGCGGCATGCCTGCTTGTAGAGATCTACAACGTAAACTAATTCCTACACACTCTCAGTGGTAAACAAATGCTTTTGTGGTCTTTGTTGTTGTAGATTTCAGACTGATATAGTTCACAATTTGATAACTCTTTATACTTGGTTAGTACTAATCGGACTTTTGATGATAGTCGGCGCAACTTTGCCGAACAACGGACGCAACGGTTCGCAAATGAAAGAAAATTATCGCTTTCGTGCAAAAAATAAAAAATATATAGAAAATTATAAAAATTGATCGGATAATCCAAACTTCGATTGGTAAAAATTTAAATTCGTTTGGTTCCGTTTTGTGACTTAGAAGGCGTCAAGATGCAGATTAACGAATATTATTTTGAAGGTATAAAAAAATATGAGTAAAGAAAAAATTAATTTTTGAGATAATTATAGAGTTTTACCTGTCAAAAAGAAAAATCTGTGTTATAAATTTTATTAAGATTTGTTAAAACATGTATGTAACACTCCAATAGCTGGAAACCGACCAAATATGAAGGAATTAAAATAAAGCACATAACTTAGAAATTTTAAGCGTTTTCATTTGTTTGAACATACATATGTTAGTATGTATGTAGATAAATACAAATATTATTTATGAAGTCAATGTTAAAGGGAAGTGTTACGGAATCTATTGTATCTAGCGTCGGAGCCGAATTTCTCACTCAGTACTTCATTTTTTTCTATGTACAAACATACGACGGAGAAAACCGTTATGTCGAATATGTTGATCCCTATTTGAAACTCGAATGTAAATTTGCTTAAATATTTTCTTAAATACATTTATAGTCCATGCGGGTAAATTGGAAGAAGCCGGTTTTGTGCCCACAACGGGCGACTTTACACAACCGGAACGGATTCAAAATTAATTTTAGATTGTTTGCTGTCGCTACAACAACATTAAGTAGATCTAAATTTCTAAAATAAAAACAATGCAAAGTTAGGCTCTATGTGACCTCTACAAGAAGTTCCTAGTCTATAAGCACATATGTATTTCTATGACAATATGTCGCCAAAGTGCACTTAAAGAAAAATTTGTATCTATAATTAAAAAGAGTTAATGAATAAACTCAAGAGTTATGTATAAGTATTTAGCTGTTATGGGATTTCATGTCTTCGAGAAATTGAAAATCTTACCACTCCCCGACGCCTGTCTTTGGAAAAAAATACCTTAATTTTGGCTCTAAACCTGGCTGGTAAATGAATCCAATATTGTTTTGGGTGTATCCACACGTTAATGGTCATTTCACATAGAACCTTCCTCGCTTTTATTGACAATTTTTACTTTGCCTACGAAGCGAAGAAATCAAAGGATGTGTCGGGATGAACGAACGAAGACTTATTTGAAAACATCTGGGAGACGGGCATCTTATCCGTCTTACTTTATCTGCATCATGAGTGATCTAAGTTTACAGAGTTATAAATCTTATACATGCCATACTAATTAGAACCCAGAAAATTGTTTGATAATTTCGCAAACTTTGTCGTAATAAAAGTTTTTGATAGGAGAGTGAATAGGGTGACTCGGAAATGCGGCGGATTTTAGTCTGCTAACCTAATTATGGACATACAAGATAAGTCGTTCTAAACTCTAGACAAGATCGCTAGTAGAAATATTTTTCGAACTGAGTTTATAGTTATTTGAGAACCATTATCTCTTTCGCTTCCAAATAGCAGTTTGCGTTTATATGTATTTGACTGCGTCAGTAGTTTCTTCTGTATATTAAAAAAAAAATTTCAGTATATGTCATGCGTAGTATCATTATTGATCTCGAGACGATTTTTGATCGATACCATTGAGTTAAGCATAACTGAATTTGTTTAAAAAATTTCGGAAAAAATTTTCAATTCGCTTTACTCTAATCAAATAACTAAACAAACTTTACCATTGTCATTTTATAAACAAATATTTGGTTTAGTCAAACTTTTTTAACGAACATTATCTCTCTTCTTTCCTACCATACATAGAGACTGACAAGATGCAAGGGGTGAAGAGGGTGGTAGTCTTCTGCATACTGATCGTCATACTGCCGTCCGCTTTGATAATCATACCGCTCTACCTACGCCGCACCGCCTTCGCTGACGTTATTTATCCCGTTGCCGAATCGGATATAATTGAGATACGAGATGGTATATCTTCGATATTCTGCCAACAACATTCGCTACGCATGAATTCAAACTTCAATGCATTTCAGTTGCGCAGCAAGCCCGAAGTCTCCACAAATCGTAAGCACATACGACTAAAGAAATCTATGACGCTGCCTGATGATACATTGGAATATTGGGGCTTCTATCTGTTGAAGGGCGCTAAAGTGCACCTGAAATTTTGTTCACGCTACGACGGCTCGCGTATATTAGTGGTTAAAGGGCAACGTAACCTGAATACTTGCGGTCTACTCGATCACAATCAGAACAAATTGGGTGCAAACTTCGCGCATGGACATGAACAGGTGAAGGTATTCTTTGAGGATATACGAGAAATGGGGGACACGGTGCCGGTCGATGAAGTGGCGTCTGACAAGAAAACAGTCGACAATCACATGGAAGAGGAGAATCACGGCGGTGAGGATTCCAGTGAAGACGCGGAGGAAGAAGCATTCCAGCGTGCTAAAATTGCAGCGGCGGTGGAAGCAGCGGCTGCAGCGCTGGCCGTGCCGCCACAAAAATTGGAAATGAATAGCACACAACCAACTACAGTGAAGTCATCAAAGGTACGCGGCAAGAAATTGAAGAAGGGCTCAGTGAGTTCGCCGCGTAATCGTAGACTGCCGTCAAATGCGCCCGCCACTGCATCCACACACAGGCTAACAAAGCGCGAGAATTCACCAGCAGCGAATCAAAACGTGACAAACGCTTCAGATGCGACATTTTTGCAGCGCCATCAAACAGCGGCGGCACAACGGAAACAGGAAGTGTACGATCAACTGTATAAGCTGCGCCGACGCAGCAAGCGCGAACATGTTTACGATCGTAAATATAGTCATGGTGGCAATGCGATTAACTTCACGATCACTGATGAGTCTAACTCGGTGTCGAGCTTCGAAACGGGTCTATTCAACTGCTTCAACGGCACCATACTACTGGCGGAGGGTTTCGCACCCTCAGCCGAGTGCGTTAATGCGCATTTTCTCGAAAATGGCTCTCAACGCATGCTATCCAAGCATGAGATCACCGAGGATGGTTATTACTATTATATATTCTACAGCGACAACGATCTGGTGCGCAACGACATACATGCCATATTCGATATTTACAAACCGACATTTCAATATTCCAATCTAAGCGATTTGCAGGGTTGTGTAAATGTGACGAACTGCACCTTTCCCATCGGTTTTCTGTCCGACGAAATGGTCATCGTGGAGGTGCCGACGCGTGATGGCATCGAACACGAAGAGGACGACATCACCTACCTGATCTCAACTTGTCATCCGCGCACGGCCGTCTACGCGATTTTTCCTATTGCGGTGCTGATACTGATATTAAGTTGCTCATTTTTATAGAAGTGGCGTGGCGCGGCTAACCGCCGCTTGCTGTGTCAGCGGAGACAGGCTTAATTATAATTTAGCTAATGTTTTTTTTAATTAATACTTAGTATATAGTATAGAAAATACATAATGCTATGGGACTAAATATCAGATAATTGTACACAATTAGAAATTTAGTATAAAATAGCTATGTAATGAAGAGATCATCATTAACCTAAGCGCTTATAAATTGGCCATAAAGCCACATAAATGCGTTACTGTGTCACAAACTACATAAGTAAATAACATAACTGAATAATTAATTATTTTATAACATAAAAAACATGCATATATTGCAGAACGTGAGTGTAATGAAATTGATTGTATTTTTCGAACAATTTTAAAAAATATTTTATAAAAAAGAGTGTGCATTGTATTTTATAACTGTTTTTGTATAGTGCTAGCACACGTATGTATGTATATGTAATATTGACGATTATAAATCAAATACTAATAGGGCGAAACGCTTTTAATATATAAAAAAAAAACAATAATTGAATTTTTATTATATTGCTCTCCAAAAAGACAGTAATTTCGCTAGCGGAAGCACCACCAACCCAATCTAGCTGGATGCGCTGTGATTTTGACGTCCAGCCAAGCATTACCGTTTCTGTCACACTTTTTTGACCACACATGAATTAGTTCTTTTCGCATTCAGTGCAAACTAAATAGCTTTCTAACATTACTGCTAGCTATTCCCAACAACAATAAACGGGCACGGCATAGATTTTGAATAAATATCTACGCAGCAATGCGTGGAATTCTACATTTGTTCATTTAAATAACACCAAAAAATGTCTGTCATAGTTAGATTGTCGAAAATCATCATTATCCACATACTAAAATATTGTTAATTTATTTTTATCATCAGTTTTGTCAGCCGCCTCGAAACTCGCGCATCGAAAATTAAGTAAATACATAAATAAAAGTGTGAATTAGATCCAATAGAGACAACTTATAATGATGACTTGTATTTCAATATTTAACTAAGGAGACGCATGAAGAGCAAAGGCAAAGGTAAGTACAATACATACATAGTGTATGGTGCGAATTGTTTTTGTTGGGTATTACGTGTTTACACACAGCTTTAATAAAATTGCACTTAAAACTTAAATTAAATATAAATAAGTAATCTATACAAATATAGCATACACCAAGCTAGTTGAAAAGTTCGTATTGCTTCTATGAGAAGGCGTCGCTAGAATTGTTATCATATAATTTGTTGTTAGACCTGACCTTCAAAAGGCTTGTGCATAAACGTTACAGCTATCGGATCGTAGTGACACAAGCTTTTCAAAAAAAAAAAAAATGTTTTCTTTGGATGCACCGAAGATATACAATACTACCCTTCACTGGTGCGTAAAAGGGTATACACGATTTTTAATTTGATTTTGATCGGTAAGTTTGTATAGCAGCTACAATATATGCGATAGTAGTCTGATCTAAACAATTTGTTCGGAAGTTGTAGCAATGCCATGAATAATTATCTATGCCAAAATTTGTGAAGATAGCTTGCCAAATAAAAAATAAAAAAGTTCTTCATACAAGGACTTCAGTTTAATCGGTTAGTTAGACGAATAACCAGCTTCTTAGTGAGAAAAAGAACGCGTGACAGTGACTACTACCTCTTCAGAAACCTGAAATAATTCCTTCGTTGAAAACATTTTCCGTCCAATGAAGAAGCTATTACAACTGTAGACGGGTATTTTGCAAGCTTCCCGAAAGTCATTATGGGGATGGCATAAAAATATTGGAGAATCATTGCAATAAATGTATTGAATTTAAGGGAGATTATATAGAATAGTAGCAGTATTTTTTCATTTCGAGCGCAGAATATTTTCAACCAACGTGTACACTTTATAAGGTCTCCGACGTTTCCTTCCTGGTGTTAGAAACATCATGGCAATCCTAATATACCCTGTTCAGGTAAACTCTGTGCAAAGTCGGTTCCGGCCAAGCTCAGAATCGACCGACCCCAACTCTCGTTGATATATGACAATTAATCGAACATGGACTCATTATTCATCCATAAACCATTATACAGTCAACCAAGTAGCAAGTCCGTGATAAATCAAATCTAATTCGTGGAGAGACGGAACAGTCAACTATTTTCGGAAGGAAGAAATCTTCAAGAACTACAATTATATAGCTTTATTGGAATGTTTAGAGAACGAAATCGTGGAAAACCGTTGAATTATAAGAATTTAGCGACAAGGAAGAGATGAGCGCCGAGATTGAGGTCCATTCTACAGCATTACACAATTTACACTACACAAATGATAACAAAATGTTTGAAAATCTTTATATACGTTATATTATCGGTATATTTTCCTTTAAAACAAACAACTTTGAAGCCTGCTTGAGTTCTTGTAAACCCTCTTATTCTATTTAAAAAAAGTTCGAGGACGTGAGCACTGCAATTTTTAAAAATTTTGTACTAGGTATTCTGGACGGCTTTCTTTTTCCAAACAGCGTGTAAAAATCGGAATTCATATATGATTTTGAAGATTTCAAATAATTAAATAATAAAACTATTATACTCTGTGGTATATGTTTCAAAGATAAAAAATTAATGAAAAACGTTCGTATCGCAGCGCGAAAAAAGGGCTGATGTGACCAGACCTATTATTATTATTAAATAAAAACTGTTTACACCTATTATTTTGTCCATTAGTGTATGTTCTGACGAATTACGAGTTCTATGATGTTATTGCTTTTGTTGTAGCGGTAGAAAATATTCCCCAAATAATTGTAACAGTAAAAGAGCGGATCAGTTAGGCATGACTATTGTGGGAATACAAAATAAAATTTTCAAAAAAATTCAAATTGCTTAATTCAAAATTTTTGTTTAACACTTAGTAGAAAAATTACTCTCTGGCGAAGAGGATCGCCATCGGTAAGTAGTATACTTGTAAATATAAAAAATATAATATAGATACTAGTTATTTAAATATGTTATATTCATCAAAAACGTGTCACAATTGTCATAAAATAATAGATTTGATTGGATGCATTATTCCACTTTTAAAAATCAAAAAAATGTACACATACAAAAAGTCGTATGAATATAAATACCACATGTGCTTACAAAATTTTGTGTTGAAAAAAATAAGATTTCATTATCAGTGTCGCGTTAGACTTTTTGTGTAAACAATATTTCTTCATCAGACGTTCGATGACTTAAATCGATTAATCCTCAATATGTTCATATACTATGTATACATATAGTCAATGGAAAAAATATATTACATTTTGTTTCTTCCATTTTAACGGCTTTTGAGTTTTTTTTAATGTAACTAAGTATATAAAATAAAAAAAATAAATACAAGGGCACGTAAAAAAATTAAATTTTCTAGTAATACTCAAAAATATTGAAAAAGATATGACATAAATGTAGAATATTGTAAATTTTAGTTAAAAAAAAGTTTGAAGATAGATACAACTATCTTGTGTTAAGATATTTAATAGTGGATAGAGAGTCTTCACGATTGTAATTGATCTAGCACATTCGCTTAGGAACTGATTTACATAATATTCTAATGTATTTTTATGGCATTGCTTATTTTTATATTACTTACTAGTCCCTCAGTTTTCAAGATATCAAGCTGAAGTTTTGAAAATGTCCCTTTCCCCCCAAGAAGCTGCCAATATCGGATAAATAAAGCATATAGCTGAGATACAAACTGACTGATCAATCTTAAACCCTTGTATGGCAAACTGTTTTATATGACAAGATACCTGGACTAAATTTCACATTGATTATTATCCAAGGCATCGATACAATTTAGGAAAATATAGTTTAGCGCAGATTGCTATGGCATATAGCTGTCATTAAAATCAAGATAAAGATCTTTTTATACCCTTTTATGCTATAAAAAATGCATCCGAAAAATAATATCTTTAGCATCGGAAGTTAAGGTTTTTTTTGTACTTATTTCATGTATTTTTCAAAAAGTATTGCACTTACCTATTTTAAATTTGCGAAAAGTATCTGAATATCTGTACCATATGAATTAAGACGACTGACTACCGATTTTTTTTTTTTTCATGAATTGAGTAATATTTATAGAATATGAAAGGTTGACAAGAAATCTGTGCTGTGTTGAAAGAATTATTTTTTACACTGGAAAAATGTAAATTCACTATAATATTTTTAACTCATTGAGTAAGTTTTGGGCAAGTTTTATAACAAATCATTCAAATGAAAATTAAATTGTTTTTAAATATTTCGTAAGTTATAAAAAACTTTACTTTGAAAATGTTTTAACAAGTAATTAAGATTAGTGGGAAATGTTTCGGATATTCCGTTTAATTTAAAAAAAATTGCTATAATTCAATTTAATTAAAATAAGTTTGATTTTTAAATTCTAGTTTTTTTATTGACTCCTAAAAAGATAAAAAAAATTTACTTTAATATAAATAACCACAGAGATAATATTATTTTTACAAATATGGTTTCGTACACTGAAAGTAAATAGGAAGGTATGAAAAATAAAAGTGTTTTTTCGAGGAATTTGGATTCGCACAAAAATCCATGAAAGTTAAGACTTTATATTTAAATAACTCAAAATTAGTTTTTATTATTATTAAGTTAAACATGAACTTTTTAAATTTACAAAAACAAAATCCAGTAATTTTATATTTCAAAATAAATAATATAATACAGAGTATTTGAAGGTTTTTTAAATACGTTACAATTTCAAGGCATATTTGTAAAACCGTTGTATTGCTAAGCAAGTAACTGTTTTTTCTTGGTGCTGAACCAGTGGTTAAAATCTAAACGCAAGAGTAACTGCGACAAAGGAGTTGTAGTCGGATTTGTCTTCAATCCTATCAGATAGTTAATTAATTGATCCATCAGCATACTAAATCGTTCGTCTTGTTGATCAATATATTCTTTAATCTTAGTCCCACACAAGTCTTGTCCCAAAACGTTACTTAAGTTGTCGCACACACTAAATATATCGATTAAGATATTATAAATCGGATTATTTGACTGTGAGACTATAAACTGATTGATATTCAGCTTATTACTCTCTTCATTAGTCAGTAAGAAGCAGAGTGAAAGTATATTGGCCAGAAATATGCTGTGCGCCTTTTGTATTTCTTCGAAATCCGCTTTATTTTGTATGGTATTCAAAAGTATGCTGAATTGGCTCTCCAACACATCGACTTGTATATAATACTGTAGATTATCTATGAAAAATATCAGTTGGTTTAAGAGGCTTGTTAATTTGAATTTTTCACGTGAGCATAATTTGGTGCGACGCACCTTATTGCACCACAGCATATGTAGCTCAAATTGCATTTTCTTGATTAATAGTAGAAAACGGAAAAGTATATTATAGTTGTCGATCACCTTCGGTGAGAACAATAAATGTAATGGCCAATTAATTTTGTAATTTAACTGCATGTAATGTAAATAGTTGTGTTCTAAATCTTTTGGATTACTACTGTGCATCAGTGGTTTGGCGATACTGAGTGAGAAGCGTTCCAAATCTTCAGAAACACCAACTCCATGCGCGGCAGATTCGAAAGCTTTCACGAAATCATGCACTTTATTTTCATTGTACTTGTCTTTGCCGATTGCATATGTGAGCCGTAAAAATTCCAAGAACAATTCACCACGGCCCAGTAAGAAATATTCTTTGATTAATTTAAGTTGATGCACCAAATCCGCTTGATTGATTGCTATCTCCGACAACCGGGTTGTCAAGTATGCCTTAATTTCATTAACGATGCTTTCATAGTGTTGTACATTCAGCTCTTCATCATTCTGTAGCATTTGTATTTTGCCAAAGTAAATATGTTCCTTTTCATTGCTCAAGGAGCTTTCATCCTCCAAGTCGGTGTGTTCGGTTTTGCTCCAGTTTTGTGTGAGAATCTTATGTTTATTAGCATCTGCTTTAAAAATGAGTATTGTTTGACCAATGAAAAGCACTTTTTCGGCCCAACCAGTGGGTAAATAATGTGGTAAAAGCTCATAGCATATTTCATAACGCCAAATGTCAGCGTACGTGCTAGCCACTTTAGACAATGTTGTAATTGTACTAGCATGCTTGCCACTTTCTGTGCTAGCACATTTACTGGTGTCACTCTCAGCGGCACTATTGATATTACCCTCCGAGCATTGTATGAAGAACTCACCATATGTATCAATTATTTTGGCATAAAGTATCCAATGTGTAAGTTGTTTGAAAAATACTACATTCACCGCAAGTTGCAAGGTCTTTATTGCAGCGCGTATTTTCTGATCACCATGTTCGGCATTTTGGTGCAAAAACTGCATAATTTCACAGCCATGCAGTTTTTGACTTCGTATAATACGAATTAACTTGCGTAAGTAAAGCGCTAATGGTTCATATGTCTTTAAATTTCGATATATAAAAAGCAGTGAAAAATTTGTTGGGTTTTTTAGATAATTTTCTTCCAGCGCGGTGATGTTGTCAAAGTAATCTTTTAAAACAGTATCAATACCATTTGCGAACGCCTTCAAATAAAGCCCCTTTTGCAGCGGCTCATCTGTATCAAAGATTGCCACATTTCTATTGACACTGTTGTTGCTACCGCAAACTTTGGTAAATTTTTCTATGTCCCGTAACAAGTTAATAATAGTTATAATATCCTGTAGTACAAGCTTTTCACAAGGATGCAAAAAAGTTGAGACATCTGTTACGGTGAAGTCTTCCAAGGATAAATACTTTGATTGCAAATTCAAGCAAGACAGCAACACTTCATGTATCATTTTGATGGCCGTCTTTTAAATTGAAAAATCATTGAGAAAACCTGTTGGGTTTTTGGGCTGCTGATAATATTACTATTTTATTATTTTATAAACAAACTATTGTTGCGCCTTGTTTAATGAAATAGATGAACAGCCGATTGGCAAATGTCAGTTTGATTTTTATAGCTGTCACATTGACAATGTTGCCATTCCATGGGGAATTCACACAATCGCTTCGAATACAGTTTAATAAATATTATATAATTTTATAACACCAATATGAAATTAATTAATACAGCAACTACAATGCGTTTGATGAATTTTATATCATTTGCCATTACTCTCTAAAGCACGGAAAAGAAACTGACTTAGAAATAGTTAGATTGTTAAAATAGTTGAAAATAGTTTCAAACTAATGAATATATTTTTAATTCGTAAAACAATCATTTATGCAATAAATACGAAGTAATAGTTTTATTGAAATAAGAGAAGCAGAAAAAGATTCGAACTTAACTATAACTTATAAAGTAATATAAACAACGAAAGTAAAACTCTTGATGAAAGAAACTATAGCGCCTAAAATTATACTTCATGAACGACAAATTTATATACCTCACTTCATGTAATCACATTATTATTTAGTTTTTGGTTTGAAATAATATATTTTCTATGTTATTTTGCTTAAAAAATTTAAGCATTGTGCTGTTTTTATTTTCACTTGAGCATATTTATATTTATATATGATATAAAATGGTATAAATAAGTTTATATAAAAGTATGTATATATATATGATAGAATGTAAGAATGCAATAGAGAGCAGGATGCCAAGCATATACATGTGTATGGATATAGATATGTGGTATGTATGTTTATATATTTATATGTATTAAAATACAACACAGGGAGAGCATTATAATTTACGTCGGTTGACTTGTGCTGTCAAAACTACGTAGGAAAAGAGAAAATAACTTATTCAAGAAAACTACAGATAAGAAAAAAAAACTAGAAGGAATATAAGCACTCGCACAAAGCCGATTCGAATAGTGGCGAAACACACTCTTTGCAGTATATCTATGGGAACTGTGTATTTCAAATCTCTGTCTTTGTAGGCTTTAAATGATATTGATAAAATATTATTTAGAAACAATTTCAGAGCTATTTTTGCTTCAATGAAATAAAATAAAATACTAAGGAAAGAGTGCGCTGATCAAATTGATTGATATTTCAATAAGGTATGCTCTTTGTTTTTGCGATTACGTATATCATCTCTACAACAAAAGATCTCTGAGATAACGGATAAGAAATATCATATCAAGCTAATCGTGTATTTTATGTTATCTCCTTCTGTAAACACATGATAAACACGGATATCAAGATAGCCGAAAGAGAACACATTGAATACACAAAACTATTCGAAAAGATAAGTAATGTCATCTGAAGATTGATAGAAAGTATTCATTTAATTAATTTCTGCTGAGGCCTATCTTGAGACCTAACGGCTAAGAAAGGGAGATTTAAATTTTATATTCAAAGTTATCAGTAGCACAATAAAGTATGCTGATATGAGAGCTCTACGATGCCCTTTTCATACCCAGGTATGGTTTACAGAATTAAGTTTGTAAGTGACCGATCACTATCCTACCGGCAAAATTCTAAAAACTAATTTTTACCTACTTTGGGTCACTACAAAATGAAAAATAGTTAATTAGCTTGAGGAGTAAAATTTTTTTATAGTTTGTATTTACGACATTATATGTACATAATTATACCCTGAATAGGGTGTATAAAGTTTTTCATGAAGTGTGTAACACCCAGACAGAACCGTCGGAGATCCTAAAAAATACAATGGTACAATTTCCGAAGAAATTGCTCAGATCGGACCACTTTAACATATAGCTGCTATACAAACTGACCGAACAAAATCAAGATAAAGATTTTGTATATCTCTTTATGCTATAAGAAACGCACATGTAAAGGGCATCATAGCTTCGGTGCACCCGCAGTTAACATTGTTTCTTAGTTTTCATACAAATTTGTAGCTCATCTTTGAGTCGGGCAAGATAACTTCTAACAAACGCTCCCGTTTATATATGCATGAGTGTGTGCATATGTACATATATATAATTGAGGTATGTGTTGTTGTTGTATGGGAGGGAGAATACTCGTGCACGCCACCGATACAGCAGCTGTTTGTATTGTGTCAGTGTCTTCTATTGTTAATCACACGTAATTTTAGTGCTATTTAAACATCGGTAATAGGTAAGCTTTTATTAAAAATCGTTCAATGAAAACGGCAGTCTCGTGTTGAGCATCGAAAATGAAAGTCAATATTCAATGTCTGTACATAAAAATTTAATGCGAATTGCAAATTCTAACGTAAAATTTAATTCAAAGTAAATCGGTACGCAAAATGTGACAGTTGAACAAAAACAAAAATAAAACAACACCATAAGTCGCCCATAATCACAACCCCTCTATGTATGATAAACAAACCCCTAAATGGATTTAGAAAAACACTCACGCTCTCGGCGCTCTTATGGGACAAATAGCGTCAATGGTGACTCTTTTCAGGGAGGCACTCAATCGCTTGACGGCCACAGCAAGCACACAGCCACCAGCGAAAGCAATGCGAGCGCGTCCAAATAGTATATTCGTTCCTGTCGCAGCTGCTGAATGCGCATGCAGGGCTAAGTAGTCTGCTAGTCTCTGCCGGTGCTACTGCCGGTTGTGTGCTGAGGCTCGTTAGTGGCGGCCAACGCGAATGCGGGCGTGAGCAAAAGCAAATTGCTGAGTGAATAGTGCACATTAACGGTGTGCACTTTTTGTTTTCATTTTAATCCCAACTATGCATGCAGGGCCAATGCGGCGCTAAACGCGATAATTCGTTCGTTTGTGACTAAGCAAGAGGAATTGATTAATTTGTTGCCATTTTTTGCTACAGTATATTCCAAACAAGATTGCTATTTGAATTAAGTTGAAATATCGATGAAGTGGAAAATGACAGCTAAAGTGAATTCAAATGAAAATAATTGTGTATGCAAGATTAATAGGTGATAGTAGTGGCTGAAAATTATGGAACGTGTGTGGCGTATACACACAAACATACATATGTACATATATACTTTCATAAAGTATATGCACTAGAAGTGTAGGAAATGCAATGAAAATAGTCAACTACAGAAATGTGTTAAAAATAAGTACGTGCTTGTTTATCAATAAACATACATATGTATGAATGCATATATTCTTTATAGTGAGTTGTGAAAAAAATGCCAATAAGCAAATATTGCGTGAGAAAAGTACGAGTGGACTTTGAGTATAACGCGCTGTTAACGGTACCATGAAAGTGTTGTGAAGGTGAATGAAAAGATTTGCATAGCTTTCCAGGAATTTATAAATATTGCAAATAAGGTGAGATCTAATCGAAATAAATAATTAATTAATACAAAATTTACAAATGTGCATAAAGAAATCATTCATAATTTTTTCTAATATCAAAACGCATGGCACTTAATCCAGTGAGTAAGCATTTTTGCAAACTCGAAAATTCTTCGAAAAGTCGGAAAATTATTTACAGACAAAACAATAACAATGAGTGTGTGGTTGCTATACCAATCGCTCTCTTTACTATTTCTACTCCTTGCCAAAGTTAATATTAGATTCTCTCACCACTATTACCCTGCTCTTTGCACTGTATTGTTTGTGTGTGTGGCGTGCTGTCAAATTTGTTTTCTCAATTAAATGTCAAAATATATTGTCGTGTTTACGTTTGTAGGAAAATTAAGTTTAACTCTATAAATATTAAATTTATAAATTGCCAAATGTCAACATTGAGATTCATAACTCATTTTCTGGCGACTCAACTGTCGGTAAATGTCAAACTTGTGAAACATTAAATAAATTAAATAATTGATACGCATCGGTATAAACCTTAGAAAAATATTTATAAACGAATTGATAAATAAATATAAAATACCCGGCTCTAAATGTATCGGATGAACAAAAGAAAACAAAACTTCGATTGCACCGTGGCAGTATACTCTTCACAAATACAAAAGATTCCATACCAGAACTTGATTTTGATCGGCCAGTTTGTATGACAGCTATGTATATACATATATGCTATTAAATATTCATCCGATTTGAACAATTTCAACGGAAGCTTGCTTAAGACAATAATCCATGATAATTTACGTGAAGATATCATGTCAAATTAAAAATTTTTCATAAAAAACTTGATCGTGTGGAAAGTTACAGATCGATATCGCAAAAATTGAGAGTCGAGTTCACGAATACGAGACAGACAAACAGACGGACATGGCTAAATCGAATCTTATTGTAACTAATTTTAATTAAAAGTTTTAAATTTATTAAAGAAATAATAATTGTGTAATATACTGTGCAAAGGAATTTTTCACTTGTGATAGATTTACAGTCATAATTGACAAATTACAGCTATGATACGTTTAATGACACAGGAAAAGGCATGAGAGTGAGCAGTATTGATATATAGTGAATCATTTCCGAATATACATGTGTTAAAGGAAATGCAAAATTACACACATGCGGTGGTTTACATCAGTTTTTGCACAAGTCTTTTAAGGAAATGATAGAAATTTTTTTCCACTGTGACTGTCATATCATCGGTGAAATGACTGTTACTGTTCTTGTAGGGATGTTGCATATATTATATTATAGGGTCTCCGACTTTTGTTTGTGGTGGTTACAAACTTTGTGGCAGGCTTAATATAGCCATATTCAATCAAAACACTGTCACTGATATGTCAAAAATACCTATTGCAGAGATATAGAGAAATGTTCCAGTAGTTTGTGAGATGCATACATTGAATTGAACGTTTAACCATTTTTGTGGACATAAAACTATCAGTCATAAATGGTCATTGTAAGATTTGTTTCAGCCAAATTTGATTATTTTTTCATTCAATGTATGCATCTCACAAACTACTGGAACATTTCTTGTAGCAGAAGCATTATATACATAGTACGATGGAATTGCATCAAATCGCACCATTAAGGCAAATCTCATATTTATGAATTTCTACAGAATTTCGTGCAAAATTCATCAGATCCTTTATTTTACAATCTATAAAGCAAACATCAACGAATATGTCTGCAAAAAACTTTGAAAAAATAGTATCTAAACGGTATAGCATTTCTCTTCCAAAAAAGTTTCGAAATCGAACCATAACTTTTCAAGACCCTGGCGTATCGCACATGTGGACCTTACTGCCACCTAGCTGACTTCAATCTGAAAACATCGATAAATAAAATCGGCTTAGTTATCCTGAAGCATGCCTAAAATATTTATTTTCGAAGTTTATGTTGACTATTTATAGAGTATATCGGCGAATACGCAAGATAGCTTAATAATATTAAATGAACATATTCCCCTTAGATATACTACAGTTCTGTGCACATATGTATAATGATTTCCGTTATTCTATTAATAAAATTACCATGAAATATCTTTTCAGCATGCCTTATGATTATTATATTTTTTGTGAAGGAAATGTCAACTGGTGGGGAGAAAATCATTAAATTAGATTTATGGGAACTAGAGAAAATTCTGGGTCGATTTTATTACATCTTAACCCTAAACAAAATTGTGGTCAATGTCATATAGCATTTATCTCAATAAAATTGAATGATAATATTGACCCTTGACCGTATGAATCGTGCGGCTATACTCTAAGTTATCTCTTCCTTATTTGTTATTTATTTGGTGGCAGTAATACATTAAGATTATTAAAATGGCTTAAAATATACAGAATACAACAAGTTTGCCAAAATATCTGTAACACCCAGAAGGAAACGTTAGAGACCCTAATAATAAAAGATCAGCATGACGAGCTGAGTCGGTATATACGCCGTCAATTTTTCAAATATCGATCTGAAATTTTGCACACGTCCTTTCAGAAAGCTGCACATCGGACCATAATAGCATATACAAAGTGACAGATCAAAATCAAGTTTTTGTATCGAAAACTGTTTTATTTGTGAACGGTACAAACAAAGTTAATGTTGTTTTTTGTTTTTCAAAGCATTGTATTTGGTTTGTACTTACTAGTACAATATATATAAACACTAGTAACAAGTATTGCAATATTATAGCATGGCTTTAGAAATATTTTTACTCGTTTTGATTTTGTTATAATTTCATTGCGAATTGTTGGCGTAAACAAAATACAACATTTTTACTATTTTCATAACAAATTTGATTAAAAAGGTCTCTTAGAATAGTTAGAATTATTATATATAAGAATATACATATGTATATACTATACAAGCATACATATGTATGAATGTTATTTACATGTAAATGTACATACTACGTTTTTTAAATAACCTATTGCTTTCAAGCGTCTGTCATCAGTATAACAATTTAATATTTTATTAGAAATAAACAAAATATATAAGTATACATATACATAAGTAAACTTGTATGTATTGACCTCATACATAAAGTAAATACAGTGAACAAGTAAGAAAGGTCTAAGTTCGAGTGTAACCGAAGATTTCATTAGAAATTTAAAAGTTTGTTGCATAGGAATTATGCGTGTTTGTCAAACGATTTCGCCCCTTTCTATAGTGTACAATACTTATAATTGGATAACCTCACACACCCAATTTGTTAAAATTAATCAAGTAGTTCCATATAGGGTTTCACCTAAAAGTGGGTGGTTCCTCGCCTATTGTCCACTGGCTCCCATAAAGCCCTCTGCCATCATAGTTGTGAAATTTAATGCTTGTAGCTCTTTTATTCTATATTTATAGTAATTTTCAACATAACGGTTATGTGAAGAGTGGGCGTGGTTATTATTTGATTTAAGTAATTTTCACACTGTGTGAAGAAATGGTAAAAAGACTTTTTCTCAGTAAATTTGGTTGAGTTAGCTTGAGTAGTTTGGAAGATAGGTATGTACATTTAACCATTTAGTGGGCGGGGCCACGCCCATTCTAAAAAAAGTTTTAAGCCCACAAGCCCCTCTCTACTTCGATCTCCTGTACCAAATCACAGTTTATGACACTTCATACGTTGTTCTTTAATGGCGTTTTGTGGGCGTGGGAGTGGTCCGATTACACACATCTGCAGTACCAACCCTCCTTGCATGCCAAGTAACATATTTACCAAGTTTAATAAAATATCTCAATTTTTACTCAAGTTACCGCTTGCACGGACAGACGGACGGACGGGCAGATTTCAACTCGTCTCACCAACCTGATCATTTACACATATATAATTAGTTTTAAGTGATACACACAACCGTTAGGTGAACAAAACTCCTCTTGCACAGAGTATAGTGCAACATGTTGCGAGAGTATAAAAATTACTGATAATTTGGTTTAATCAAATAAGGTTTTGAAAATTTGTGAGTGATTACATACATACAAGTGTACATGAGTACTTGAGCGACTGAGGCATTATCTAGTTCTTATCACCGTGTATTATGTATATAGATATACAATATCTAGTTCATATTCTGTTCACATTTTAATTAAAAATTCAAACACTTCTATTATACATATATAGGTACGTAGGTAGAAGGAGTGGGTGTCTGACGACGCACCTAGGCCTTGTGAGACTACTGGGATTAAAATCCCCTCGCTCGGCTATGTCCGCTCTAAACACTCCCGGACCTCCGAAAATCGTCAAGAAACCCTCGATTGATAGTTGCGATTATTTTCCTATACAATGCTTTGTATACGCATAGTAGCTTCTACCTCTTGACAGCTTATACGATAGTCATTATATGATGTTCCCAGTCTGCTGGCATGTCTGCCAATTAGACAGTGACCTGTTAGTACTCCGACTATAATCCTTATGTCATTCCTTTTGAATTTTAATAGTCGGCATGTGTGGGCCATACTTCAATCATGTCGCGCTTGCCTCCTTGTTGAGCAAATTGGGGATTGACTCCACCGAGATTCAGCTATATTTACAACATATTTTTCTTTAAATATCTTCAAATAGCTAGAGGCATATAAATTTCGTCTTTTCTGGAGTCTGATTGTAGTGTGACGCCTGTTCTGGCTAGTTCATCTGCCTAAGAATGTCACTATGTCCTGGAACCCATTGTAGGATTATCGTGAAATAGGATGTTATATCCACTAAAAGATCAAGGCATTCTTACACTATCTTTGATGAAATCCTAAGAGACTTTAGTGATTTAACGGCCGTTTATATATGCCATATGCCTGTTGTGAGTACACTCTTTGTCAGAACAAAAAGGCTTTCTTTAATTGCTGTTGTTGCAATATTGGGGACCAAAGAAACATATGGTATCGACAATTTTTTCTTATTGTTTTTAGGTTAATCTGGAGTTTCATGAGCCAACATTTCAATTGAAAGTATTTTATTGTCAGTTTATCATTGGGAAAAATTAAATAAG